GACCCTGAACTTGACAAGTGTATACTTCATCGCAAGTAGCTCCTTGTCATAAACTGGGCAGTTCTTCTCTTCAGCTTTGAGCTGTCGAGATTCGAACGCGATCACCCGGTCTCGCCCCTCGGCGTCTGCTTGCAGCAGTGCACAGCCAATGGCAAAGTCCGAAGCGTTACAGACGGACGCTGAAAGGACGATCAGGGTCTGGCAGCGCCAGTATTGGTGCATGCAGGAGGCTGTCTTTGACTTCGTCGAAAGCCTCCTGATGTTAGGGGTTCCAGCACCATTCCGCATCCTTTTTGAGGAGATTGGACCGGGCCATTTCTGCGTAATTTTCGCTGTACTTGTGCAATTAGTTGGCGAGACCAAGCCACTTACGCAAGTCCTTCTGATTCTTTGGAACCAGCCAGTCTATAATGGCCTTGACCTTAGCGGAATCCGCTCGAAGGCCACGCTTCCCAATGAAGCACCCAAAAAAGGGAATCTCTTCTGCGCCAAAGATGCACTTGTCTGCATTGGCGTACAGTTTTTTCGCGCGCATGCACTCGAACACCACTCTTAGATGGACGATGTGATTCTCCTCATCCATCCTCACGTGCCCCGCACGACTATAAACGAAGATGTCGTCAAAGTATGTCTGTGCATACGCCGTGTGGGGCCTATAAAACTGCGTCACAAGACGAAGAAATGTTGCTGGTGCATTTGACAGCCCTTGGGGCACCTTCGGCCACTCCCAGAGCATGCCGCTCGGAGTGCTCACCGCTATCGGCGGAATATCACTCGCTCTCATGAGCAATCGGTGATACCCATCGACCAAGTCGAGTGCGCTGTACTTCGTACATCCCACCATGTTGTTCTGAAAAACATTCTTTCTAGGAATCGGTGTCTGTGCCAGAATGGTGGCAGCGTTGAGCTTATTATAAGCATGAACGATACACCAGTTGCCGTTCGGCTTCCGAACACAAAACTTGGGTGTCGAATGGGGGGACTTGCTCTCATGCACCATCCCTGCGTCGTGCTTCGCACGGAAAAAGGCGTCAATGACGTCGCAATGCTCCTTGGGCACGGGTCATTGGCGTGTTACGCAGTATTTGGTTTCCAGAACCAGGTCGATCTCATGACGCACACCTCGATTCGGAGGTAGGACCGAAGGCGGGTCTTCGGAGACGACGTCTTGAAATTCTGTTACTAAAGGATAGTACGAATCCAAGGGATCCCGTAGGATCGACGATCTACTTCATGCGTTCAGCACTCTCTTGGTGTCATCCAAGACAGCTTTATCCAAAAGTGATGACGATTTTATCTCATCGTCCGGTCGTACAATGACCACTTCGGCCAAATCGCATGCATTCAAGGCACTGCTGAACTCTTCAAGAGAACATCTCGTCCAGCTCAAGAAGAA